TCAAACTAGGCAGTTTATATAATCCACCTTTCCAGGACTGCACGGGAACGAAACAATCTGCAATTACACTTGTCATGAATAACTTCAAATAACTTGTGGGAGACCATTAGGTTTCACAACAATTAAATCACGAAGTCTTCAGACCTGGCATCATTGCTCTATGTGGAGTCCTAATATTTCATTTTGGTACTCAATTGGAGTGAAAAAAAATCAGCAGAAATAATAATTGTTGGGAGGTAGAACCCTAGGAATATGAATTCTTTCCCTCCAGCAGTTCCCTCTCTCTTTCTGACCCTCATTAGGAAATATGGCTGACCTGATTGATAGATAGATTGTACCAGCTATTATTAGACACTGGAAATGGCAATGTGTAATTTCATTCCATTCTGAGACAGCTTGTTCGGACCACTGAAAAACTAATAGGGAATATGAGCATCAAAATAACACTTTGGTTGACAGAGCCAACTTAATACTTTATTACTGAAAGCAGCCTGGAAGCAGCCTCGCCACACAGATGCTATGAACACCAATTTTCCAGGCACACAGCCTAAAATAATCTGATAAAAATGCATCTATCACTTCTTGTCTCTTTATCTCTTTGCTCTTGAAGTAAAGAGAAGTTAAATTAAGAAGAGTTATGCTTTCATGAGTGGCATTAGTGTTACATTAAAGAGCAAGTTGTAATACTAATAAAAAAAAAGTTATTAGAGTTATTTCTTCCCTGCTTCCAAAGTTAAATATAGGACCTTGAAAAGAAGATGCAGAATTTTAAAGCATATTGTCAAGATTAAAATATTTTTTTTTAAAAAAAGAAGGAAGACATTTTAATGTCTGAATCAAGACAACACTTCTTGCTATCCTATATGAAACCAAAAACCAGAACAAGAGCTGAATGGAACTTCAGCACTGGAGGCTGGCTATCACGAACCAAGTCACTTCACATCTGCACCTTAATTGAAGGGCAAGGACAGGCCAGATGCCACGTACACATCTGGCCTTCAATACACCTCCAATCTTTTTGATCATATGACTCTCTTGTTCAGATAGTTGCCCGCCTGTCAGCCATGATGACACTTTGGGTCTGATTGCATTAAATATTAGGCAATGTGGTGGCGCAGTGGTTAAATGCAGCACTGCAGGCTACTTCAGCTGACTGCAGTTCTGCAGTTCGGCTGTTCAAATC